TCAATGCGAGGAAGAGGATACTTGTTCTTAACAGTTACTTTATTCAGTTGTCTGTAGTCAATGCATATCCGAAAACTTCCATCCTTCTTCTTCACAAACAAAACCGGAGCACCCCAAGGAGATGCACTTGGTCTAATGAAGTCTTTGCTTAATAACTCTTGAAGTTGGCCTTTAACTCTCTTAACTCAGCGGGAGCCATTCTATAAGGGGGTATAGAAATGGGGCGAGTACCCGGTTCAAGATCGATGCAGAAGTCCATATCTCTATCCGGTGGCATACCAGGAAGGTCTGCGGGAAACACATCTAAAAACTCGCAGACTATCGAAACCGACTCAATTGAAGGTACTTGGGTAGTATCATCCTTGAGATGTGCCAAGAACGCTAAACAACCCTTACTAACCATTTTCTTAGCACGATGAAAGGAGATGATACGAACCAGATTGGAAGTGTAGTCACCCTCCCACACTAACGGATCTGTCCCAAGCTTGGCTAATGTCACAGTTTTAGCATTACAATCCAAGATTGCAAAATTTGGAGAAAGCCAAGTCATACCCAGAATTACATCGAAATCAACCATTTCTAAGATAACCAAGTCTACATGAGTATTGCTCCCCACAAACGTTACAAGACAAGACCTATACACCTTTTCAACTATTACAGACTCACCCACCGGAGTAGAAATACGAATAGGCATGTCAAGAAATTCACAATGTAAATTAAGACCAGTAGCAAATGAAGAAGATACTTATGAACATGTGGATCTAGGATCAAATAATACGGAAGCCATGCAATCGCAAACCAAGAGATTACCTGTGATGACAGCATCCGATGTCTCCGCTTCAGATCTCCCAGGGAAAGCATAACAATGAGCCCTATCACCTGTCTGCCCGTTGCCCCTACCATGTTGTGCCGTAGTGGCTCCAGTTTGCCCGTCACCCCGGCCGTTTTGGTGACCACCATTACCTCGGCCACCACGTCCTCCCGAATAACGGCCTCTTCCATGACCACCTCTACCTCTGGTCATTGGGGGTCTGTAACTCTGTTTTGGACAATACCTCTTAATATGTCCAGTCTCTCCACATCCATAACACTCTCTAGATTCAAGCATCGGCCTCTGTGAGGATGACGAAGTCTGGGGATAACCTCCAAACTCAGAGAAATGTTGATTGGTCTGCGGTGGACCCCCAACTATAGTCTGGAGTGAAGACTGAATAGGTCGGATTGAGTAACCTCCTGAACCCTGTCCTCTGGAGTAGGAACCATTAAACTCACCTCCCTTACGAAACCTTTTTGATGCCGGTGCCGTGGTGAAGTCATCTGGCTTCACTCCCTCCACCTCTATCACGAAGTCTACCACTTCCCGAAAAGATTTCGTTGTAGCCGCTACCTGTAAGGCTGAAATCCGCAACTCTAACCTCAACCCCTTCACCAAATGGCGAATCCGCTCTTGTGGACTGAAGCAAAGCTGGGTGGCATATCTTGATAGTGCACGAAACCTATCCTCATAAGCAGTAACCGACATCCTGCCTTGCTCTAGGCTTGGAAACTCATCTCTCCTCCTATCCCTCAAGGTACGGGGTATATACTTCTCCATAAACAAACTAGATAATGATGCCCAAGTCATAGGTGGGGCCTCTGTTGGTTGACACTCAACATGTGACCACCACCACATTTTGACGTTCCCTAGAAACTGATAGGTCACAAACTCAACACCAAATCGTTCTACTATATTCATCTTGTGCGGTAGCTCATGAAAATAAACGAGAAAATCATAGGCATCCTCAGATTCAGCACCCTTGAAGACTGGAGGTTTCAATTTCAAGAACTTACTGAGAAGTTCGTGCTGATCACTAGTCATTATAGGCCCTGTAGTCAATCGAGGAAACGTGCCTATTTCCAATGAGGCATCCATGTGGGGAGCCACAGTAGTTGCATGTTGTACCTCCGGAATGTGAGGTGCTGGTGCAGTAAACACTGGAGGTGTCTGACCCTGATCAGATAACCCGCTAAGATAAGCAAGAACCTGATTGATCATCTCTGGGGTAGGTTGGGGTGGTAGTTCCTCATTCTGCACTTGCTCATTTTCCCCTTCCTCACCCTCTCTTACTACTTCCTCAGTCGGTGGAGGAGTCACCGCCCTAGTACCAGATGGGCTAGATGCTTGTCCTCTTCCTCTAGAGGATGTCCTCCTGCGGCCTCTACCACAACCTCTTGTCACTCCTCCTCTTTGAGCTATAGTCTCAGTGGCTGGCTCAGACGCCTCTTGTCTTGCCGGTGGTGGTGTTGGTGCGGTTGTTGCTCTAGTTCTAACCATCTGCGAAATAGAGTGAATATGGTCAGATACCAATTTGTATCACCTAGATACCAATTGGATCCAAGTAATAGCACGAAAGAAAGAAAGAATGGAATTTTCCTAAAGTCCTATAGCCTCCCAAAGAAAAGTAAAGGCGTCCCCCTACCGTTCCTTAAGACTCTACTAGACTCGTTCTTGTGTGATGAGACCAACGAACCTAATGCTCTGATACCAAGTTTGTCACGACCCAAATCAAGCCGCGAGTGGCACCCACACTTATCCTACTATGTGAGCGAACCAACCAATCTAAGCCCCACCATTTCAAGCATAATGAACAGAATACAATGCGGAAGACTTAAAACTCATTAACGAAATCAATCAAACAACTTCTAAAATTTATAAATCATTAACCCCAAAATCTGGAAGTCATCATCACAAGAACATCTATTTAGAAAGCTACAATAAATAAAAAGCTAGTGCCGGAACGTGACACTCCACTCCATATACTATCCTGGTGTCGGAACGTGACACTCTGATCCTCATCATACTATCCTGGTGTCGGAACGTGACACCCGATCCATATTCTATCCTGGTGCCGGAACGTGGCACTCTGATCCATATACTATCCTGGAACCGGAACGTGGCACCCGATCCATATACTATCCTGGTGTCAAAACGTGACACTCCAATCCTCATATACTATCCTGGTACCAGAACGTGGCACCCGATCCATATACTATCCTGGTGTCGGAACGTGACAGTCCGATCCTCAAATACTATCCTGGTACCGGAACGTGGCACGCGATCCCCTAATCTCACTACTTTCGTTCATCAAGCCTTCTTTTATACCAAGGCATCATCATTAACAAAGTAGATTAGGGTTTTCAAGATTTTGGATTCAATAGCTTCATCATGCTTATGTTATCACAATTATATAATTACATTCATGCAAGCATACAATTAAGCATATAGAAGGGTTTACAACACTACCCAATACATATCATTCGCTATTAAGAGTTTACTATGAATAGCATAAAAATTATAACCTACCTCCACCGAAGATTCGTGATCAAGCAAGCAAATTCCCCAAAGCGTTGTTTCCCTCTTCGTTCCTCTCTCTCTCGATTGTTTCTCCATCTCTTGTTCTTTCTATTTTTCTTATTCCAACCCTCTTTCTTTTATCCTAATTAGCATATAATTAAGTATAAAAGATGATAAATTAACCCATTAATTAATTCAAGGTTAGCTCCTTTAACCCTCCAGTAGTTAAATTATTAACATTAACCCACTAGATTTATAATTATAGCAGGAATAGTCCAAAACGCCCCTTAAAACATTTAACAGAAATCTGACCCAGCCTGGGATCACGCAGTCTGTGACGGGCCGTCGTGCCTGCGACGGTCCATCCTGCTGAGTCGTCACAGAGTTCAGAGACTGAAATTTACTGAAGGGCCTGTGACGTTCCGTCACGCCTGTGACGGTCCGTCCTGCCATTCCGTCACGAAGTTCAGAGAGTTGATTTCAGTACCCAAATTTCAGAAATCTAAGTGTTTTGGAACGAGACCCCCTCGACGGTCCGTCGTGCCCATGACGGTCCGTCGTGGGATCCGTCGTCTCAGCCAGTTTTTCCAGAAATAAAATCTGCTGCTCAAAACGACTAAACAGGTCGTTACAATAATACCTAAATCAAGTTATATATGTAGTAATTAAATTACAGACCAAAGATTTATGCAAGTCATATTAGAGATGTTATAAACATATAAATGTACAACTGACTCTAGATGAAATTTGATTAACTTTTAGGAAAAATGATAATTCTTAATTAAGTAGAGCTCAGTTAGTTAGAGACTCGTGCTGATAACGTGTTGTAAAACAAGAGGAAAACTATAAGAATACTAAACAATATAGAAAGACAAAATAGTGATGAAAAGTATAAATCTCTTCAAGTGTTATCTTTCACAAGGGTGAAGCATACCCTTTTTATAGGATGAAGAAATCACCCATTTACAATATTAAGCAAATACGTTAGAAGCTCTTTAAGTGATACATTAAATGAGACATTACATTAGGTGTAGAATGAAAAGAAACATCCATATAATTAAATGGATTTGTAACAAAATATTATTTTTTACTCTCTCCGTCTCATTTTATATGTCACTTTTCTACTTTGCACTTACACTAAGAAATGATGTAACTTTACCCTTCTACCCTTATTTAATATTTTCTTTAGTAAATTTTATTAATAAATGACAAAATTAATTAACTATTCTATCAAAAATATAATAGACAAAAATGATAATTTATGCATAAATTTTATAAAATGATAAGTATTGTGCTTCAACTATTTATAGAAGAATTATCATATAAAAAGAGTCGAAGAAAATGTATTTCATCTTTAGCATTAATTACTTATTTTTCTAAGTCCAATCATTTATTATTTCTTAGAAAGGGTGCCAATTAAGTCCAAACAAGATTTCTACTATAGTAGAAAAGGCTAGTTCAACATGTGTGCTTGATGTCTTTCATTTTAAAGTTGAGGGTGTTTTTGTCTTTTCAATGTCTTATGATAGCTTAGGTGTCTTGTAGTTGTAGCAAATTCAATTGAGAATTTACGTGTCCTCCATAGAGCAACATTAGAATAGCTATTTACGTGTCCTCCATGCATGCAATTCCATTTTAAAAAAATTATTAATGTGTTTGCATATGTTGGGGCATTTTAAGCGGGGGTGAACTTCCTGGACACAAGGTCATTGGCGACATTGCTGTCACTAGGAACTCCACAGCTGGAGTTGGACTAATTAGCCCTCCTCATCATCATAATATCTACTCAATTGAGGATCTTGCACAGTTGATTCATGATCTTAAGGTATTCAAATCTCTTGTATTTGTACTATGAGTACTTTCTGCATTTTTGTTCATTGATCCTGAGGTGTTGCCTTATTGTGCCTATAGAATGCAAACCCTGGGGCACGTGTTAGTGTCAAGTTGGTTTCTGAAGCTGGTGTTGGGGTTATAGACAGCAGCGTTGTCAAGGGACATGCTGATCGTGTCTTGATCTCCGGTCATGATGGAGGGACTGGTGCCTCAAGATGGACTGGCATCAAGAGTGCTGGGCTTCCATGGGAACTTGGTCTTGCAGAGACGCATCAAACTTTAGTGGCTAACGACCTCCGTGGTCGAACAGTGCTGCAAACAGATGGTCAATTGAAAACTGGAAGAGATGTAGCCATTGCTGCTCTTCTTAGTGCAGAGGAGTTTGGTTTCAGCACTGCTCCCTCATAACACTTGGCTGCATAATGATGAGAAAATGCCACAAAAACACTTGCCCTGTGGGGATTGCCACTCAAGATCCAATTCTTCGGGAGAAGTTTGCTGGAGAACCAGAACATGTCATAAATTTCTTTTTCATGCTGGCAGAGGAAGTGAGAGAAATTATGTCTCAACTTGGTTTCAGAACACTTACTGAAATGGTTGGCCGTTCAGACATGCTTGAAATGGACAGTGATTTAGTCAAGAACAATGACAAATTGAAGAATATTGATCTGTCCCTACTGCTTCGACCTGCATTTTTACATGCATATTACTAATTTATTTAATTAATTATACAGTCTTATACTGATTTGAAGTGGATTATGCACCTGAATTGCTTGATGTTAATCCTACGAGAGATAAAACTTAGTTCTACATTTTTTAACTCAATGAGTGTAATGAATACCCAAGCCAATATATTACTATCAAATCACTTGAAAGATAATTACTATGTACCTCTCCAGGGATATCTTTGGCTATTGACCACTTGTCTAAGGATTGGTTATTTGACAAACAATGTAGCAAGAAATTGTGAGTAAATTTGTTTGCATCTTCAAGTATCTTTTCTCCTGGGAATGAGACTTGAGAGCATCTATAGAGATTGTACATAGCTGTTGGTGACTTGTCTGTTTCACCCATTAAGCAAAAAAAATTATCACCATCTTTGAATTTGTTGAACACGTCTGTCACATATTATAAAACAATAATATCGATTAGATACAACTATTAAGTTGTGAAAACTTTAATTAGGAATATGGGTGACAAATCGCTCAAGTTGATTTGCACGGATTAAAATAGATTAAAACTAATATAAATAAGTTATCGTTCCACAAGTTATTAGTTAATTTAGTTAATCACATTCATTATTAACTTGAAAAATAATCCTTGTTGCACAGGAGAATTCATAGAAATATGTAGTTCAGCACGGTTTTGACATAGTATGTGTCTATGTATAGTAGTTAAATGGTTTCACTTCATATGAAGAAAAAAAAAATAAGGTTAATGTCTATGTGATAAGATTAAATGATGTGATTTTTCTGAATGTTTGATGTATATCGGTCCTTAGCTAGCAAATACGTATTAGAAATGTGTAATTCTTTTTAATTTAAGGAGGCGTTGTTCCACTAGCTCCGGAAAAATAGCAGGCACATGCTCTAAAAAAGCATGAAGCGTTTGCTGACGTTCGCGCCTTTCATTTTCAACATTTAGAATTCTTTGATTAATTTGAGAAAGTCTTTCAGTGGTAGCTTGATCCATATCTCCCTTTGCTTTCTTTTTAGTTTCTGGTAGATGAGTTATCATTTTAATATTCAATTTTAGATTTTCTTGTAGTTAGGATTGCCAAATTTTCTTCTACTTCCGTCAATAATATTCAATAATTAAGCACACAATGATCATCCGGTGTGAAGTTAACATGTATCAAATTATTTTCTACAAATGTATATCAAAAATAAAATAAAATTTGTATTAGTTTCATAATATTAGGTCCGTGCTGGCACGGATAATCATCGATAGTATAAGAATAATTTTGTACTAAATATACATCAAAGTAACTAAGTTCAACTAAACCAATTTAAAAATCAATTAAAATAATGAAATCGAATTTATCAAAAATAATTTACCAAAAGATATTAATCAGAAAAATAAACACAACTCTGTAATGGATTACTAATACTAGACCCTCGCAGTAGTTTAGTTTTTGAACAAAGTTTTGAAGGTTGTTATATCAACTTGAATCCACATTTTCATTGTTCAAAAATTAAAAAAAAATGTGATTCACGTTTATAAAAAAAAGACATTGGGTCGTTTCAACTTGAATCCCCACACACACATAGAGTATGTAACAATTGTCAATGGCTTGATGCTCACAATCTCAAAATCACTTGATGTAATTCAATGTTCCTGAATCATTTTTTTATTTATTGGTGATTATGACTTGAAGCTAACATAATTATTGGTTCCTTTTTTGTCAAATGCTTTTAAGATGTGCTTAGACTCTTTAAATCTTTAATTTATAGTTATTCTAGCATCAATTATTGCGAGAAATAAACTTGAGATTCACAACATTAGCATGGGAATTGCCCTGACTTGTTTGAACAAGCTGCTGGCAGCTTCCTTAATGTGCTCTATGCGCGCGCACATCTAGATTGACCAGGTCGGGATATTTGAAATACCATATGGTTGTGACGAGGAAAAGAATCTATGAGCTTCTTGATTGGGGATGGAAATTCTTTTAGGTTTCTTTCTTAATATGCTTTATGCGGTTGCAGAGATATTTTTCTTTTTGCGTTTTAATTATAACTTGCAGATGTACATTAGAGGAGCTTTAGGAGTTTCCGAGAATATCACTGACATTGAAGATTTTTTTGAAGTTGTTGATTTGGGGTGAACAGACTGTCAAGAAAGGTGCCTGAAGGCAGAAATGATGAGAAGGGTTACGAATAAAAAAAAGACTATGGCGTAGTAATTTGTATGTTCTACTAATTATTTTAGAATTGTATCTAGATCTCATGAACCATGATAAAGAGAGAACACTAAGACTTAACATCTGACCCTACCAAGTAAAAGTTTTCACTTGGAATATTATTTTAAAACTGGTAAGAACAAAAAGTTAATTTAGTAGTCATCAAATCCTTCGAGTCCAGTAAATGTGAAGCTTTAGCCAAATTGTCCTCTCGTTTATGTAAGCCATCACTTTTCTTCCCCATTTTACATGAACAAACTTGCATAGAAAAGATATTTGATGTTATTTTTCAGTTCTAGAGATTTGTGTAATGTACAAAGCGGATGATTTTGCTTTCTGACATATATGTAAAATATGATCGGCTTCTTTATTGCAATAATATTATACCACTTATAATTCACTAATGTGAAAATCAGATCTTTTATATACTGCACTAATTTTTCTGAAATAATGATCCTTTAATGTTGGGCCGTGCAATTCTCTATCTAGTACTAGTAGAAGTATAAACAAATGAGGGGCATATGTCCACGTGTCGATTCCACCAACTTGATCACGGAACATTAATATCCCACTTTTACTATTCACCTTTTTGTTAAAGTTTCAAGCTTTTAGAAATTCTATAGGTCTGATTTTAGTTGTGAATATCTATGACCATATGATAACAAAATATTAATATATATCCAACGTGTTTAACTGATTTTAGTGTATCAATAAATCTAAACTAGGTACTTCGTGAAATGAAATTGAAAGATGAAAAACTTAATTTAGACATTATTTTAAATTTAAATTTTATTCAATTATGTTATTTGAGTTTTAAAATTTGTATATCCCTTGCTAATATATAAGTGACAATAAAAATATAGGTCACAATTAACATGTCTGTCCAACACTTCAAGGATATTCTTATTTTTTTTTATAACTAATTTGTTTTACTTTTCATTCGTTTATATATTTAAAAATTGTGTTAACATATATAAGAAATTAGCTTACTGTTGTAGTTGATAGCTGGTCTTCACTAATGTTGATTTTGTTCCTTTCCTTTCTAGTCTCGAATTCTTGATTTTGATTTGCCTGATTTGCTATTTTGACGTTGATCTTTCTTTCATTTTTGATGTCAGCTGGATTGATATTGGTAATCAATCTCTTTGATTTTGTGTAACTAAGGAGGATCAATATGAATGAGATATTATTAAATATTTGTCAAATGAAAAAAATATGTCATTCTTCTTAGTAATGACTCAAAATGAAAATATATCATATGAGTTAGGACAAATCAGTAGTATCTTTTATGGGTTTTTTAATTTAAAAATTTTATTTCAGAAAATACAATAATTTATTCATCCAATGATCTAAATTTACAAATAAAAATCTCAAAAATTTTAATAGTATCACATAAATTAGAATAAAAAATATTTATCACTCTGAAAATGATTAATATAGATTACTTTTATTTTAAGGTCTTTAATTAAATGCTTAAAATATTGTTCCGTTTAATGTTTCTCCTAAATAAATTAAGAAGCTGTTTGATTAAGTGTATTAACAAAAATAATGTGTGTATCTATTTTATGTATTAGTAATATCTTGTTTGGTATAGTTTTTTATGCTATATATTAGTTACACACTCTATTGTGTATTAAGATTTGTATTATAAATACTACGAGTTTATAGGTATTAAAAATGCAATAAATTTTAATGCATGTATTAACAAGATTAAAGATCCCCAAATATTATTTTTTACATCTTTTTCATTATAATTGTAAATTATGAATAATGTCTTTATAAAAAAATATTTATATACAATAAATGCTATATTTAATACACCAAATAAAATATGTATAATTAATATAATTATTATTTGTACACTTTATTTACTATTAACTGTATTTAATATAAATATTATACTACACTTTATTTACTATTAACAATATTGTCCAACCATTACCACCACACAAATAATTATAGGGAAAATTGTATATAATAACAAACTAATAACCTAAAATAAATGGAGTATCTAGGGTTTGATTTAATTGTGCTCCATAGCAAACGTTTGCAAAAATTTGTCAGGCGCTTCTCTCCCAAACATGTCGCTCGCCACTCTCCTCCAATCTGTCGCTCGCTTCCTCACTTTTTATACAAACACAGGTGTATAAAAATTATTTCTAATTGTATAAAGTAGAGAAAATTGTATAAATACATATATTTTTGTTCCCCTCTCTCCCCTCTTCCAGATCTCGCTCGCTACTCTCCCAAATCTCGCTCGCCACCCTCGCCTTTCTCACTTATACAAACAAAAATGAAATGTATAAATTGTGTTTCTGTTTGTATAAAGCGTGAGAAAATTGTATATACATATGCAAGTACATATATTTTCGTCCTATACACTTATAATTATACAATAAAAATACTCCCCTGCCCAGTTTCTTTTGCCTTTCTCTCTTTCTCGTTGTATACAATTATCAAATTGTATCTAATTTCTCTCTTTCTCGTTTTATACAATTCGATTCAATTGTATATTCCTTGTCAAATCTATTTTGTCTTTCTCTCTTTCTCATTTTATACAAATTCAAATTATATATAATCGTTCTAGACACTTATAATAATACAATTCGTTTTATATACTTCGTTTTTATACAGTTCTCTACCAAGTGTCTTTCTCTTTCTTGTTTTATACACTTTGTTTTATACAATTTGATTCAACTGTATATGTATAGCGAATTATACAGTTTCTATGTTTGCTATGAAACGCAATTATGTAAACTTTG